TGAGCCTTACAATTTTTTTGTTCTGTCCGACAACGTAAAAAAAAGCGAAACTCTATATTTATATATAAATATATATATGTTGTCTCTCTTTCCTCTACTTTTGTACTCTGTCACGGGCAAATACTTTCTAGATGCATATATTAGAGAACGAAAAAGACACTTTACCTATCTTGAACTTGACAACCACGACTTTATGTGTGTAGAAAAAAAAGAGAAAGTATAGTGCCGATAGTGACTAACACGATATTCATCAAGCTGTTCAGGACGAAATCATAAATCAAACATGCCTAACACGAACGCTTGTACATGAAGGCTTTTTCAACATAACTCTTTTCAATTAATGATTTTTTTTATTCACGACAGACTCATGTTCAAAAATCCAAAAATTAAAATAAAATTTTCTTGTCCTTTATAAAATGACTTTCAAACCAAACTAAAGATACTATTCATATTCTCGATGATCAGTCATCGAAAATGAATTTACATTTATTTCTCTATGATGATTACTATTAATGTAAATGAATACATAACATATGTAAAACGTACCTATCTTTTACAACTATATAATATGATCCATTGTCCAATTTCTAGAATTTTCTATATATATACAATTGAGAAAAAATTATCATATCACACATTACTGTAGCACTGACCTACCGATCGTATGCGAAATAAATGTATCGATGAGCATGTACAAGCTGTACGCTTTATTTGTTATTTAGAAATATAAAATACAGCATATGAAAGAACGAAAAACGCCAATATGACCGTACGGTGACCCTTTTTGATAAAGGAAAGTAAAAACAGAATAAATTACTACTTGTTCTGTTCAACCCCAACGAAAACGAGACAAGTGAAAAAATTTTTTCTCTTTGCTTCAAAATAGTAAACATATTTATCAAATAATGCCAGTAAAATCTCTTTAAGCTTTTATCTCTTGTACATACAAATGAATGACAGTGAGATATAAGTTAGAAGTCGATGTTACTATAGAAAGAAAGCATGTAGTGATTGAAGGTTTTAATATTCATTTTTCTGTTGCTTATATAGAATAAAGTAAAATAAAACGAATGAATATATGATGACAACAAAGTTTGACCTTCATTATTAGGAAAGAAGAAACTTAAAAAAATTACAAATAAAATAGTAGAGTTTCGTTAGAAAACAAATAAAATAACAAAAAAAACTAAATCTTCAATTGATCTTTTTGAAAATTTTAATAATTTAAAACTAATTATAGTATTATTTACAGTAATCTTTTCAATCTTTTGAACCAATGCTATGATCGATCTAAAAAATTTAACGCTTCAACAACTATTGTGAAATTGATTTTTATTATTTTTTTTTTCGTTGTTTTTTAATCAATACTTCATGTGTAATATTCCGTAGTGATTGATATTATAAGATTCCCATTAAAACGAATCATTGTTACAAACTTCTTGTAAATACAATATCATTTAATCAAACGACTAGCTTCACATAGGCGTATTAAAGATCGGTCATCTTTTATTATTCCTTTTGTGTCGACCATGATGTCCGTAAGTCAAAATGATTATTATCTGTTCAATCATCTTGAAGAAAAATTCATGGAAAATATTCTCTAATTGACATTTATTGTCAGAAATTCATTTGAAATCAACGTCATGTTTAATCAATCTTCTGTGAATCTGAAAAAAAAAGAAAGGAAAACAACTAATTATACCTTTCATTTTCATTTATATATCGATTTTCTTTACTGCATGAAATATTTCAAATCCTATTCTAGTAAATCGGCCATGATTAACTTTTTAATAGTTAAACAGCTAACGATAATAGAAAAATTTCGACTAATGGCTTTCATAGTCTAGTTTATTTAACTACTGTTGACTTGTTCATCATTGTTTTTGCAACAATAAATATGGTTAATCTTCATTCTTAATAAGTAACGAAATTAATATAATATTATCAACTTGTACAATTCATATTTTTGAAGATATTTTTTCAGTCACTACAACATCAGTTTTACTCGTCGTTGATCATTTAGTTCTCAATCATTCATATTTATGTTTGTTTTCGTTCAGTTTATGATTGTAGTCGAACTTAGACTTCACACAGTATTTGTGTTCTAATTAGTTTTATAATGAAAAACCCGTGTAATAAAGTACAATTGACACATGCCATAGGAATGATTACTATAAATATTATTTAACTACTTTGTTAAATTTCTAGTGTTTACTATGAAAGCAACAAATGAAAGTGTAATATTGGATTACAGTACAAAATCACAGCTGTTGACATTTCTGAACAAATACATTCACTTTTTCTTTATCTGACATTGTCTTCATAATAGCGTATTATTCAATACTTCAAGTGTCATACTCGCACTCAATTATCTGATTCTATTTTTATTAATATATTCTTTTGAAAAGCATTATTAATTATTTTTATTTTGAAACTGAAATATAGTTTGGACAGATTAGGTAAAGTTCTACATTTTGATAAATAAGTCTAATTTCAAATGAACTATTTTGTGTTACGAAATTTTGAACATATGACATACATTCACAAATTGATCCTAATCCCTTGTATGTCAGTAAGATAAATCTTAGCGAGTAGAATAGATCAAATTAGAGATCTTCACACATTACATGTTGATGTAGAGTAATAATCTTATTTTCACAATGAAGTGGCAGCATTGTATATAACAAATAGAGCATAAAAAGTGAATCGTATATAAGCACTTATATTCTTAGAAATTTTTTAAAATACGATATCCTTAAACATTGATACAACTCGTCAGTTTATTTTTTGTGCGCGTTACATGCATTTGTCCATATCGTGCTGTGAAAAGTAATAACATAATATGTAATTGATATAAACACGTTAAGTGATTAATATGATGCTTGTCTTCAATGTTTTTATTGACAGAAGTTTAAACGATTGAATTTCATCACAAGAAATTAACAAATACTTAAGACTTCTCTAATTGTTTTGTTAACGAACAAAGTAATGTTTTTGAGTATTGCATATTATCGAAACTTCTCAACATAAACGAGCTCATTTTAGATTAACTATCTTTATCAAAATGTAGAACTTTATTTAATCTATTCAATCTTATATTTAACTTTGACAACGAAATTAGACTATGAAGCAGAAAATAGGTGATAAAAGTTGGCCATATGATATCATTCAATCGTTAAAATTGCATGCCGATTACAATATCATTGAATGAATTCATAACTGAAAACAAGTTTGAATCAAAAATAATCCACTCTATATATAAAACATTTTATTATAACTCGTTCATTACTATCGCAATTGATTACAACATCAAATAAACTTGTTGCATAGATGAAGGTGTGCGCATGGCAACGAAGAGAAGAATCAGACCAATAACTATTCTCATCCTTTGCTCAAGGTGTTTTTATTTGTCAAAAGTTTGAGGATTGTTTTCTTCGTAATTTTCCTTTAATATTATCTATTCACTTTCAGTTGACTATACGTCAGTAAATTTATCATCACTTTCTTGTGGCAAAACTCAATTATTAAATGCTTCATCAATAGTTCCAAATACAATGATTGCTCTTTGTATTTCATTTTGTACACAACATTTTCATATATATTTTATTCATTTCCACTTCAGTTACTGAGTACATAGTTCGATTGAACATGTAAACATTGAATCGTGATGAGTGTCGAATACGATTAATAATTGTTCGTTTCTATCACGCTATTTTTTATTGAGAATTGTTCAACACTTTATTGAAAAGTCATGCTGGTCGATTGCGAAAAGTTTATTCACACATTCGTATATTTATATATTTATTATTACAAAAAACGATATTATCCGATAATATGTCATGTGAAAAACTGACATGAATACTTAAGGCTCATACAAAAAATATGCAGTTAGGAGTTATTTTCTGTCTGTATATAAACTAATTATATCGCACTACAAAACTCTATGAAACACTCTAAATAAATGTCCAGAGTGGTCTACAAGTAAGGTAACACAGTATTTTTTTCGATTTATTCCTTATATATAGTCAACTAGGTCTCATTTATATCACGTAAACTAGGTAATATCAGTCAAGAATGTAGCATATGATCAGTATCTAGGTGTAGTCATTTGTTCAAAAAGGTAAAAACATTGAGTATCCAACGGAAGTGAAACATGTTTGAGTTCTAACATTACTTTTATTACCCAAAATCCAGACTACAAAGATAACAAAAAAAAAATAATCAGTGAATACAAATGTTAATTGCTCGTGTGTTATCTATTAAATTCCCCTCAGTAGGACATATATAAATAATCAACAAAGAAGAAAAAATAATGCATGCTATGACAAGAAAAATATGAATGTGAAACGTGTTTCCTTACACTTAGTTACTCTGTATTTGTATACTTTTGAACAAATTACTACACCTAGATATTGTTCATATTCTTCATCTATTATTTATACGACCTATCTAATTTATATGGTATAAATATAAGACCTAACTCACGATGTATAGGAAAGAAATCCAAAAAAAAAAACTGTGTTGCTATATTTATGTTTCATAATGTAAATAAATATGCTTTTGAACAATTTCCATCTTCTAGACTTTTTCTATCTTTACTTGTTGAATAGTTATTTTTGTTTCCATTCATTCATACAAAAAGAAAAATGATAAGACTGAAAAATAGATCAGAATAGAACGACATCTATGATGTAGTGTTGGCATGATAGATGTCATTTTAATAGCTTAATAATCCTTCGAATTTTAACAATAACCTATAAAAATCATTTATCAAATTTTTTTTAATTTCTATTTTTGTTGTTAATGTGTTTATTTCGAAAACTTTATTCAAGCTCCCGAGGTACTTTTACAAAATCTTATTGGTCAATATGTCAGAGTCAATCGAAATGATGTAAAAGAATTTAATAAACAAAGACTTATCATTAGATGGTCAGTTTTTTTTGCACTTTCACATATCCCTATAAAACTTTTCATAAATAGGTATAGTTTTCTTCTGAACGATGTCTTCAAATGAACAACAAACTTCAAATGATGATGATTCAACTGAAGCAATGTACAAAAAAAAACAATAGTTTTGTTTTGTTTCTTTATCTTGATTTCGATATAGAGAACAAAAAAATTTTCAAGCACGTCCTGAAACATACAATGGTGCTGATCGTGATCTTTATTGTTGGACACAAACAATTAATGATATTGATGTTCGAGTTAAAGTAAAATATTCTTTAAATAAAATTTTATATGATTTCAATAAATTATTTATCTAGATTCCAAAACATATAAAAAAAGGCAAAGATATTAAAGTTAATCTAACTAAACAACATATAAAAATTGATATAATCGAATCAAATGAAATAAAAACATTAATTGATAGTGATTTACCATGGACAATACGAGCTGAAGATTCAACATGGAGTTTAGTACCTGGAGAATATATTCATGTAAACAAATAGAATTCTTATTTGAATATATATTAGATTTCTATATATATATATATTAGATTTCAATGGAAAAATCAATGGAACGGTGGTGGGAAAATTTTTTAATTAATGAAAAAAAAATCAATCTTAAACATATTCAACCTGAAAAATCTATGGAAAATTTAAGTCAAGAAGAACAAATGAAAATTCATCAAATGATGTATGATCAAAGACAAAAAGCTATGGGTTTACCTACATCAGAAGAACAAGTACAAATTTTTCAAATTCATTTTTTTGTTTTGTTCATGAAATTCCGAAATTTTATTATCTTATAGAAATATCAAGAAATAATGAAACAAGCATGGAATGCTGAAGGATCACCTTTTAAAGGACAACCTTATGATCCATCAATAGCTCAATCGATTCGGAAATCTGAATAATTCAAATGTTGTTTTTTTTTTTCTTTGTTTTCTATTTTAATTTTATTTTAGATGGATGAAAAACATAAACGTTTTAGAAAACAAACGACAGGTGTTAAAGCTGAACGACGAAAACAAAAGAAAAAACAAGAAGAAAATGATCAAACTAATACAAAATTATCATCATCAACATTAGAAGAAGCTAAACGACGAAATCCAAAAGCATTTAGTATACAAAATCCAATTAAAGCTCAACAAGAATTTCGACGGTAATTTTAATATTTGTTTACAAAACTTAATAAAATTGTTGTTTTTGTTTTTTGATTTTAAATAGAACACAAGATCTTAAAGAAAAACGTATTCATCTACCAGAAGTTGATCGAACACCACTTGAACCACCACCAGTTATTGTTGCACTTGTTGGTCCAGCTAAAGTTGGAAAAAGTTTATTAATGAAATGTTTAATTAAAAATTTTACAAGACAAAAATTAACTGATATTCGTGGACCAGTTACTATTGTTTCAGGTTTATTTATTATAACAATAGAAAATTTTAGCAGACAACTCTATGTAGAAGTTATATATCAATTCAGTTTAGACGATGAATTCTAATGCGCCACTGTCTTTCACTAGGAATACGTCTAAGTATAAAATATACGAGGAGAGAAGTTTCGTTTTCATAAATATGATTTCTTTTTGGTTAAAATAATCTGAAGATTTCAAAAAAAAATCGTTTCCATGAATTTAAATTATAAACGATATTAGTTTTTAAGTTTTTTTTTTTTTTACGAACATCGATTCGGTAAATATGGTAGATCATTTAATTACTCATCGTTTATCAATGGAATGATGAGTCATTAGATGCCATTGAAATGATGAACTGCTAAAAATTATAAGAAAGTTTGAATTTTAAACTCATTGAAACTTTGTAATGTCTTCAATGAGTTTTAAAAGTTATTTCAGAACGAATAAGATATTTTAGTTATTGGTAAATATGAAGATTTTATGAGTATTTCTTTGTTCAAATAAAGTATAGATGCTATTCATTGTTATTATTAATTCGATATACATCAAACAAGTATCCGCAAACATAGCCTAGAAATAAAAAGATTCAATTAAGTCCGTGTTTTATCCATTGTGAGGATCAAAAAGGGCACGAGTCTCTTCGAAAATCGTGTTAACCATCTTGAAGTTTGTTGTTAATGAAAACATTTGAATAAAACATTGCCTTAAGCACATCGAACTAATTCATTTGAGTTTGAATTAATTTTTCAGTTTTCTTTCGATATTGCACTTCACTGCATAATGTAATAGAGATCTTTTTTATTTCCTTATTGAAATCTAACGTTTTAAGCAAATTAACTTATCAAACTAAATATTTTCTTATTAATTTAGGACGAAAACGTCGTATTACATTTATTGAATGTCGTAATGATATTAATTCAATGATTGATGTAGCTAAAATAGCTGATCTAGTAACGTATTTTTGTTTTTTGATTTGAATAAAAAATGAATATTTAATAAATTGAAATTCATTAGGTATTACTTTTAATTGATGCTAAATTTGGTTTTGAAATGGAAACATTTGAATTTTTAAATGTAGCACAAATATATGGTTTACCACGTGTAATGGGCGTATTAACACATATGGATTTATATAAAAAAATGAATAAACAATTAAATAAACGAAAAACTCAATTAAAACATCGATTTTGGACAGAAATTTATCAAGTAAAATTTTTATTTTTCTGAATTTTTTATTTTTTTTTTGTAATTTTCATTGTTATAAGGGTGCAAAATTATTTCTAATGTCTGGTATAAAAAATGGTGAATATATTCAACGTGATGTTCATAATCTTGCAAGATTTATATCAGTTATGAAATTTAAACCATCAACATGGAAAACAACACATCCATTTGTTGTTGCTGATCGGTAAAATATTCTTTTTTCTTTTTCTTTATGGTTTTGACAGAATCGAATTCTTTGTATTTTTTTTTTGTGTTTAGTATGGAAGATCTTACTGAACCTGAATTAATTCGAACTGATCCATTATGTAATCGTACTATATGTTTATATGGTTATGTACGTGGATGTCCAATTAAATCAGATACACCTATTCATATACCAGGCAAGTATGTTAAATATATTTATTAAATTTTCAATGTTTGATTAATATTTTAGGTTGTGGAGATTATAAATTAAATAATATATCAGTATTACCTGATCCATGTACCTTACCAGCTGATCGATCAACAAAAACCAAACAAGCTCGACGTGTTTTAAATGAAAAAGAAAGACTTTTATATGCACCTTTTTCAGGTGTTGGAGGAATTGTTTATGATAAAGATGCTGTTTATATTGAATTAGGTGGTTCACATTCACATCGACCTTCTAATAATAATGAAAAAGTAATATCTATATATAAAATAAAAATTTCAAGTATTTTTATATAAATTTTATTTTAGATGAGACCAATTAATGAATATGTATCTAATATCTTATCTACTAAACAAACTATAGAAGAAAAAGTAGCATCAAGTCAATTGAAATTATTTGCTGATAGTGAACCAATTATAGTTGAAGAAGAGTAAGGAAGATAGAAGTTTAAATTTTTTTGCAAATGATTCTATTTTGATCGTTTGTAGACAAGAAATAAAACGAAGAAAAATGAATTTTGAAACAGAAGATGATGAAGAACAAGAAGAAGAAGATATTGATGAACAAGAGGAAGAAGACGAAGAAGAAGATAACGATGAAGTAAATGTAAAATTGAATAAATCAACAAAAATTTGCATATTTTTTTGTTTCTTTTAGGAATCTGAACAAGAAGAGTTTGGTATGTAACGATTTTATTTTATTTTCAATAAGTCTATTCAGAAATCAGATCATGCTACAGAAGAAAATATTAAATAAACTAAACATATGTGTTGGAGATCATAGAATATATTTTGAACACACCTAGGATCAAGGTCAAACGTTTTCTTTTGGTCGAAAGCAATCCAGTGGGTACTCTATTTTGAAACGCAGAGTCAATTATGACTTATTTCTTAGAAGATTATCATTAAGGTTCTCTTATTTTTGTACTTAATTTATTTCATTGTACAGCAAACATTTCAAAATTGACAAAAAAAATAAATTATATTTTTGAATACTAACAAACTGATAAAGTTCTATATGTAGAAGTGTGAACCAAGCTATCGTCATTGTTACATAAAAATATTTGATTTTTAAAAATTTTCCAACACTCATAATCAGTTTTAGGAGATACAACTTTCTTATTTTTTGTCAATAAGTTTTATACTATCTTTTTCTTTCTTTTCCATTTCAAAATTTCATTTGATATTTCAGCGATATTCCACACCCTGGGAACAATACAATTATGCGAAAGAAATTTTTCCTATGTATACAATCTAGAATTTTTACATCACTATTCAATAGACAGGACATTCGCTATGTATCGCATGTTCGATGTCAATAAAAAGGCCGTACGATACATAACTTCTTGTTCTAATAAGCTTTTTCATGGTCTCTTATAGAACTTTTAAATCAAGAGAAACATTTTTTTTTGGTATTTGCAAAATGCCCAAACTGTAGATTAATCGAAAAAAATTTTTCCCAATCCAACCTGAATTTGACATTCGCTTTCATCTCAATTTATATACAAATATGAGACAGTTTCTTTAAAGAATTTTTCTATTAAAATAATCTTAATTAGATAACCTTTTTTTTTGTTATAGGAAATTCATGGAAAGAAAATATATCAAAAAAATTTGCAATTAGTTATGTCCCTAGTAAAAATATCAATTGGACAAAACTTGTTTATGGTGATTCTAATAGTATGTTTAAAAAAAAAAATAAAATTTTAATTGAAATTTATTATTTAAATATTTGTTTAAGATAAAACAAATAAAAATTTATCTTTGGAAGATATTAATTCAACTAATAACGATAGTGAAGTTGGTGGATTATTTCATATATCACGACAAAAAAAAATTCATGTTAATGATCAAGAAGATTATACATTAATTAAACAAAATGAAAAATATAATTGGAATTTTGATGAAGTAAAATTAATATAATTTACAATATAAATATAATAGAATAGAATAAATTTTTTAGATTTCAAATTTAATTCGTGATTGTTTTGTAACAGGAAAATGGGAAAAAGAAAAAGATGCTGCAAAATTACTTGCCGAAGATGATGCTATGAGTGATGACGATGGTTTGTTGATTGATTCTTTTTTTTATTTTGAAATTAATTAATTTTATTTTAGAAGAATTATTTGGTGATTTTGAAGATTTAGAAACAGGAGAAACAAATAAGGATGAAAAAGAAGATAATCAAATGGATTATGATGGTAAAAATCAAATATTTTTTTTTTATATTTTTATTTTGATATGAAAATTATTTAGATGACGAAGAAAAAACAAAACTTGAAGCTAAAAAAGCAAAATTAAAATCTCTATTTGATGCTGAATATGATCAATCAAAAGATCCTGATTCAGCATATTTAGATGAACTTAAAAAAGAAGTTGAAATACAAACAAAAGTATATTAATTCGTAATCGAATTTATTTTCATATCTTTGTTTTTTGTCGTTCTAGTTAAATCGATCTGAATTTGAAAATATGCCTGATGATATGCGTGTTTTATATGAAGGTTATCGTCCAGGAATGTATGTTCGTTGTGAATTAACACAAATTCCATGTGAATTTATTAATAATTTTGATGCACATTATATAATTATTCTTGGTGGAATGCCTATAACTGAATCTCATATGGGTTATGTTCAAGTTCGTTTAAAAAAACATCGATGGCATAGAAAAATATTAAAAAGCAAAGATCCATTAATTATTTCACTTGGTTGGAGACGTTTTCAAACAATTCCATATTATTTTATTCAAGATCATAATATGAGACATCGACTTTTAAAATATACACCACAACATATGTATTGTCATGCTATATTTTATGGTATGAATAAATATTATTTAAATAAAAATAATAATTATTTTATTCT